GCATACACTGTTTTTATATCGGTCACACTCGATAAAATATGACATGACTGATATCAGCATCACTTCTATTCAAACTTTCTACCAAAGGTTAGGCTACATTACTCTTCTGAAGAAACTAGCCATAAAGAATTTAAAAAGCATCCATTATAATAAATATACATTATTACATATTATAAATATATAATCTGTATAATCGTGAACGCGTCTGAACAATCTGTTTGAGATACAGATTTAGGCACGTAGAACATTTTACGCCGTCTGTTCTGTTGTTTGCTTCTGTGCTGAATCTATTATACCAATTCTGTCGTGTCTGACTCATGTCTCACTTTAGAGGTTGTACGGCGTACCTGGGCGACGATTTGATGAAGTTTGTGGCGGTGCGATTCGACAATAGTTTGGAGGTATGATCGCTAAACGTATTGGTTTGTTCGCTTGTGTTGAGCATTGCTTGCATTAGTTTTACGGTTTGAACCGCGTGGTGACCATCGGAAGAAGTCTCGCCTGGGCAAATGTGGTTTACCAACCATCGTGCAATGCTCGAGTGCCACACGTCAGTATTTACAGTTTGACACAGGTCACTGAGAACCCAAAGGAACTGTGCCTATCCGCTGCTTTGGACAGATTGGATGCTGAAATCAAGGTAGGCTGCACTACGCTGATCATAATATAAGCATATGATACTGTACATGTAGTATTTTGATATAATACATGCAATTTTTTGCTATTTGTGTTTCGTTTTTGATTTGAAAAATTACCTGATTGACGATTGTATCGAACACATGCACCCAAATGTAAATATGCGTGTCGGATTGTTTCCTGGAATCTGTTATTATGTGACTTGCCAATGTCGTGGGCTTGATATGTTGTATTCAGGGTCATGCCGTCAATGACCTCCAAGATGTAGATAATTTTTGTAGTCGCAGTAATCGATAAGCCATTAGCGCGCTTGTATTCTGAATGCACCTTATATCATATCACGTGGATCATTTACACCCAGCAGTAATCAGTTATCAATCGCGCCTGCTGCAATAAGCCCGCTATTCCTTACTGTTTCTAGCTTCCTACGTTTCTGGCCGGCCTTTTTAGATCTTGATATAATTTTTTCACCGTCGTTGTGGGTGACAAAACGGTTTAATCCGCCAGCGAAATTAGCAGTCGACGACCATCGCTGACAATGTCTCGTTAGTAAACCTTGATACGTGCTTGACCTACTGTAGCTTGTTTCTTCTGCTTTCTTCGTTGCCGTCCGCTCTCGGTTCACAGCCGTGGGGGATGTAGTTGCAGTTGGAGAAATTTCTGGCATGCTTATTTCCATGGTTCTCTCGGTGACAAATAGCTGGTGGTCTTCGACTTTAGTGAGTGACCACTTCTCACCGCCATACAACACTGCCGGCAAGACGGTAGAATTGAAGGGGTTTGTATCGGTTACTTTCCTGATGTTGCCAAGAATAACACACTTGATGAAATGGATCGCGCTCCAACTGAACTTCTTTCTCCATTGAATCTTTCTAACCTGATCACGCCGCATGTTGATCGCATGGTCCAGATAAGTTTATCGACCGATATTCTTGCCATTTAATACTAAATGGGTCTTCGGCATGGCATTTATACTACTGGGTTTAAAAGTTCAACTGCATAGACTGCATTACAGCTCTGTCGGACGTTAATGCATCATCTCCATTTTTCTTTCGCTGTGATGGTCGCCTGATAAAGCACTAAGTCTCACCTGCGTTATCAGAGGCTTCTGTGGTCTTCGGCTGTTTCTGTAACTTTCACTACCGGAAGAACTTGAAGTTTTCATTCAACTTTCGTCTGATGTACTTGCAAAGTAGAGAGTATTCCGCAGTGTCGGTCTCATTTCTCTTTATCCTTTTCTGCTTTTTAGGCAAACTGTTTTTTATTCTTCTGAGATCTTGCTTTCGCTCTCTTTGATGTTGCCACGTCGACCGAGTTTAAGCAGCGCTTGAGACTGTCGTCGCACTTCTCATAGTCATCGTCGCAGATACCTTTCAGAATCCAGTCTTTTCCCATTGAAAATGCGCGCTTGAACACCGGTTCGCCAAATATCTTCAGTCGTTGTTTGTGACTTGCCGTTTGCAGTGCCTTCCTCTCAATTTCTCGATGGATAGTCTGACCCGCACCCATCTGTCGTCACTGAGGGTGTTAAGTGATGTCACTACTGTCATGTCTTATGATGCGGCGTTTATCAAAGAGGACGATGTTGATATCGTTCTTTGTCTCCACTTTGGGCGCGATTCATGTCAACCTCTAGTTGGTTTTCTTCTTGAACCAAGTGTTGCCAATATACATGTTTCATTTCTGCCATTGTCACCAGTCTATCTCCATATATTGCGTTCTCCGGGACTTCGTCGTCCAACTTATGCATTGAAGTCTCCAAAGACGGGGGTATTCGTCGACTTTGGAACCAGTGCCTGCTGCAGCTCATGATCGAATTCTTCCATTTTCCCTTCTGGTGTATTTTTGGGAGCATTGGTTTGGACTTTTTTCCAAATCTGCTTCTTTTTCATTTCTGGTTGCCGCACTTTCGGCATTGGCAACGCCAAGTCACAGAAGACGATTTTGGACGATCATCGGACAATAATTCTGGTTCCTTTTATTCTTCACGCATCTTTTCTTCCTCCAAATCGAACTTTCTTATTTTCAGATGCCATTAATCTTCGGCCATCGTGCCTCGCAAATTCTAAAGATGTCACAAATCGTTCCTGACGTTTTCTCTGTAAGCCACTAGTTAGGTAGTTTAATGTTTCTTCCCTACAGTTGTTGGTGCAAGCTGCAAGGGAAATCTGGGTCTGCTCACTTGTGATTCTTGGCAGCCAATCGTCAGTGGATCGATTTGAAGGTCACGCACAGTGCTGAGGTCCATCTATTCGAGGCGTCAGAGCGTATGAGGTTTTGCCACCTGTTGGCAAAGCTGATGACGGCCTGGGAAGTTTCATGCAGACGGGACCTGCCCGGAGTTCTGTCCGGTTTTTATCATCATTTTCTCTTCTAGCTTTTGATGAACAGATGCCTAACCGCAGGGGAGCGATGATGTTGGTTGCTTTTCATTTTCAAAAGAGCGGGTTTCTTTCGCTCCGATAAGAGACTTTTTTTCATTGTGACGTTTTATTTCTGAGAATCGGAAATTGCTCAGCCTGAACCCAGCCACCTTCTGGCGGTCTCGCCGCTGCCTGTTCGCAACTGATTATTTGGCTTGGGTAATGTCCACATTAGGAAGTCGTTCCATCATCCGCAATTTTAGGACGCGTCAGGTAGCCAGCGGGCTCGGCACGCTGATTATATCATATACGGTACATATATACTGGTGTAAATTTTTAACACAGTGTAACATATCCCACTGCAAATTTAGGTTACTTGGTATTTATGTATATACTATGTGTATAATACGTAGTACACAAACTATGTTTCTTGTTTATCTAGATTCAAACTGTATTGCATCATATGCAGAGAGTACATGACCTTTGTATGTACATAAGCGTAAAATATTTTGTAGTGAGTGGTAGTTCAGCAGTTTATTCAGGATACCCACTTTCATGAAATATTGACAAGGTTTTCACAGCGTTCTTCCAGCCCAACGGACTCAGAAAAGTATGAAATCTTGTGAGGTTTTGGTCACGTCACTGAAGGATGGTAAGCAATCATCTAGCCTCTAAAGCGACTTTCTACATCATTTCCAGTCTGTCGCTTCAGTCCTGAGACACTGTTTGTATCTGTTTAGAAGGGTGTATTATTTGCATACATTATTTAACAGGTATTTATCATATTGCACCACGTTTACAGTGTTCATGTAGGTCTTGTAGGCTTTGTACACTAGGCATACTGTAGTACATAATATACTGTATTACAACATGTTTTAATGATGTCTACATAATATACTTATGTATTACAACATAAACTTTGATGTCACACCTTGAATACCGATCAAGCATGATCCGAAACGTTGGAAAATAGATAAATAATAATTTGATATGCAGTGTTATCCTTTAAGTGCCTTTGTAATGATGATTTCTGGTATGCAGATATATACTATGTGTTAGTTGCACTGTTTTATCGTGTAAAAGATATTCAGTAACTTTAGATATTTCCAAACTATTTGGCAGAAGCAAAAAAAAGCTTGCAAGGTGCTCTGAAGGGATACGGCAGCTGTTCAAACGTAAGTCGCGGTCAGTGCTTCCTTGTTTTATCTGCTATTGGTTTTCAGCCGTGTCTCTTACCGTACATCGAGGAATTCCGCAAACCTTATGTCGATTTTTCACATATGCCTTATAGCTCGGTAACGTTAGTCACAAAGGCATCGGCCAGGGCGCCGTACAAGCCACCGTTCCGCTACAAAGCCAACTGACCAACATCCTGTAACTACGTTTTTATTATTTTGATTAGTTGCGCCAAATCTAAAATCTCTCTTACCTCTGTAGTAAATTTTTGGTGTATTGTATTTTATTGTATAGCTTCATTTTTAGAGTAGACTCTAGACTGAGCTACAGATTTTAAGATTCAAAACATTTGGACTAGTTTTTTATTAGCCTTTGTATCAATGAAGAGGGTTTCATAGTAGTGCTTTAAACTGGTTCAAAATTCATTGTTGATAAGAATTTTTTTGGTCAAAATGTAAAACCGTAACTGTAAATTCAGACTAAAAATGACCAATACTAATATATATTAGAATTATTTCCTTTCAAAATTACCTTACAGAACCCTTTAAGTTTAAAAGCTTTAAGTCTAAATCTTTCTGCATGCATGGCACCGTCGCAAAGGACGAATCAAACGTTATCCAAAAAGATCGGGCGACTGGTAGTTACCTAAATTATGTAGCGTACGCCGCTTTTGCATTCATACATATTTAGACAGTTATTCAAATGCCTGAAAGCTTCTATTCCTGATTTAAAATATGGGATAAATTATTTTTGATAAGTATTGTTTTCCAAAGTATCTACTTCTCAAGGCAGTAAGTGTTCTTTTCCAAAAAGTTTTCAAGGGGATCTAGGCACTAGTTTAGGATTAAAGTTTACAGATA